ATTTATCTTGAAAACTAAACATGGTTAATTATTAAAGAATGTAAATATAATCTAAGCCTAAGTGTAACTATTAAAGAAGAATGGGGAGAGGGGGTAGGGGGGGAGGGGGCAGGATGTAATGGAAACTTTAATGAAATAGCTGAGTTTCTTCTAATCAAACATTCTCATCAATATGCAAGAATGAAATATATACTGGGAGGCTAAATTTAACAAACATGCTTCCCACTTCCTTTTTTTCTCAAATATAAAAACGTATGAAATCTAGAAGAAAAGAAGAAAAAGGAAAAAAACGCAACAAAGAAATGGAAATTTAGAATTCAAAAAAAAAAGAAAAAAAATCAAAGAAAAAGGATAGAGTTATTCTTTGATCTATGCAAACGAAATTGAAAAAAGATATCAAGAAGAAGAGGAAAAAAAAAAAAAGGAATATGCGCAATTGAGTGCCAAGAGGCTTGCACTTAATGAAAATTAAGGGGAAAGCTGTTCATTTATTGCGGCCGAATCTTTCTTACGAAAAAATGAAAAGCTACCAGGTGACTTTAAACTAGAATGATAAGGAGGTAACGGAGGACCGTAGATCATAGCAATTATACACAAGAGAGCTACGAAAATGTGTAATGTGCCCACCAACGCGAACGGTGCCAAGTACCAGTATTTAAAAAGTAAACCACCCATGGACGAACATATCATGATGCCAATGGCACCAAAAAAGGAATAAACTCCAGAAACATATCCGCGAAGTTTTGGATCGATGAAATTTGCAGAGATCATAGTGGCACTAGTCACAATTGTACCAATGGCCCCAAATCCAATCACACTACAAATCAAGTACACCACCCAACCATCCGGTGTTCTTTGGGTGCACAATAATCCATACCCAAGAGTGGATACTAAACAGGAAACAAAAATAGGAAAAGTAGGTGATTGAAACCTTGAAGTTCGAAATGAAAGAGCTTCAGTGATACCATATCTATCCGATAGATAACCCCAAAAAGGTGAACCCAATAATAAAATAACATACGTGACTCCAGTTAATGACGAAAATTGTTTATAGGCCCATTCACATCTTTTTTTTACATCCAGTTTATCACTGTAGTCATCAAGGGTACACATCCCGCTATCTATGGCATAGGCAGTGACCCATAAAGGGATAAAATTCGTAAGAACGATAGTATTTGCACGAGCAACTAGCCCAGATGCGTAAGCGACCAACATTCGAATATCTTTAGCCATGACAAATCCCGCTTTGAATTCTTGAATCGGAGATAATTTTGAAGACGTGGACATATGTGAAGAAGATGGTCGAGGCTTCGACTCACTTAAAAAAAAATAGGAGATGCCGAAGAGCGTGGCTAAAGATCCAGGAACGAAGAATGTGTACTGAATACTTTTGACATTTGAAACTCCCTTCGAAAACCAGGTAGGCAACCGAAGGAAAAAGAAAGCACTAAATACACCTCCAAGACAATTAAAAATGCCAACTAAACCCGCGATGCGACCACGGAGTCTTCCTGCGCAATCTCCTAACACAGCAGTCAACTGAAAAAAATGAAAGAGAAATTAAAAGAAAAGCATAGATATCCATTGAGTTTAATACTTTTGAATCGATCATATCAGGTGTTCCAAGAAAAACACTTCTCTTGCATTTACCTTTAATGAATATAATCATGCACACATAGACACGAAAGCATGGATATGCATGTAAAATTTAATTTGAAAAAAAGAAGTTGAATATATAATTATTCATGCATTTTACATAAAAAAATTAAACTCGTGTCTTGATTAAGAGAAAATAAGTGCTGAAATATAGCATTTGAAGAATTGAATACTACATTCTAGAAAAGCAACTTTTTTTTTCCCTCTTTTCATAGGGAATGAAGGGGCTCTTCCTTACCCCATCCCTTCAGTAGAATTATTTGTTTCAATCAATCCAAGAACAAAGAAGAAAATAAAGGGCATGCGACGTGTACCATTGCACTGCAAGCACCCGCACCGATGGCAAAGAAAAGACGTGCAAGTAATAATTGAGGGTAAACATTTTTAGCGAATGGATAAACAAAAAAAGCGATGCCCATGATTATAAAACCAGCTAACAACAATAAAAATAGGATATAAAGAAAATAAAGAGCATAGTTAGGTCAGTGAGAGAACAAATAGTAAGAAATCCTGGTATTTTTGTTACTTGGAATAAACCACTCTAATTTGATAAAATGAAGAATGTTCGAAACATAGAGTTAATTGTGTGAAAAAAAAAAAAAAAGGACTAAGAGGTTCTTCAAACAAAATAGGAACATCTTCTTATGGAAATGAAAAAATAAGGGTGAACAAACGACAACGGAGGGAAGAAAGGATAGAGTTTCATGCTAAATCGTTCTTCTTTTCAGCGAGGGATACATACAAGAATAGACCCAATGACGACCGATCCGGTCCGAAAGAAATCCCCATAAAAGTACACTTGGAATAGAAATGATCTCGTCATACGTTCCCAAAGCTCCAATAGCTTGACTCACTTCTCCTTCATACTCTGTAATAAAGTAAACCACACTGGTAGTCATGCTCCCCATAAATACAAAAAAGGAAATGGTAAAAAAACAAGCGAGCAAATACATGAAAAAATGAAGACCTGAGAAATGAGGATGTAAATATAAAAAATATAAAAAACGACGAGGTTGATAATCTGGTGGGGGAACAAGTCCATTGGAAGAATGAGTTGAACCTGGGGTAGGAGGGCACACTTTGGGTTCAGAAGAAGAAAAGGAGTCTGGTGGATCTTTAGCATGAGTTGTCGTCGTAGTTGGTAAGGAAACATCAAGAGAAGTTTTATTTTGACTTAAGCAAGTAGGGGTAGTCGTAGTAACGAGGGAAGATGGAGGTGGTGTAGGCTTCATTTTGGAAGTGAACTAACCTCGAAGGAATAGGAAGCCGATATTCTTTTCTTTTCGATAGATCAAATCACTTACTTAGTTATCAGTTTGTTTAAATATAAACACTACTTAGGTAAGCTCTACACACCTTACTCTACTCTGAATTTCTTAAGAAATTTTACTAAAGCAAGACAAGCACAGTAAAACGAAGAAGGAGTTTTGATTTCCAAAAAAAAGCAACTGAAGAGATAGTAAATCGCGTTCTAATTAAATGAAAATTTTTAGACATTCATTCCTTCCTTCCTTCCTTCCTTCATTCTCCTTTTTAAATAAAAGAATGTAAAAAAGGAAAAAAAAAAAAAAAAAAAAAAAAAAACTGTTTAACAAGAAAAGAGAGAGAAGCTCACTTATCTGATGACAATGAGAGAGCTTTCCGTATCAATTGAATTTTCTTTGCAACAAGTTTCTGTAAGGCTTAAAATTTTCTTTAATCCAATTCAAAATCCTCCCCCTCCCTCTCTTCCTTTTTATTTTTTATTTTTATATAATTATAAAGAAATAGAAATAGCTTAAAATATTAAAAACTTGAATGTTAAGAATTTTACTTCATCTCAATGATCATAGCTGGCAATGAAGTATAATCGGGTTTAAAAAAAAAAAAAAAAAAATTAAGAACCACACCCCGTTCAAATACTTCTTCGGTTATCCTATACCTTATTTATTTGTTGTTTTTCTTTCTTCTATTGTATTCTATGCTATTTTATTTAATAGATAGATTGTAATTGAACTGCATTTTTTAGTTTAGAAGTCATTTATTTTATGATTTGATGTGTATAAACTTTTACTTTTTATAAAAATAATTAGAATAGACTAACTTAAATTTAAAATTGAAAAAAAAAAAATAAAAAGGTGGGAGGGAGAGAAGGAAAATATCCGGGACCTCTTTCTATTAAATTTACAGGTAGCATAAGGGTATAAAAAAGAAGTTTTAAACTTTAAAGTAAAAAATTAAAAATTGTGGGATCGATGTCCATTTTCAAAATAATAATAAACCTTTCTTAAAATTCAAAATCGAAAAAAAAAAAAACGAAACAGTACTTTTAGAATGTATTGTTATATTCATAAAAAGAAATCCATGTAAAAAATTAAAAAAAGAGTTGTAGCCAATTAGATCTGTTTCTTTCTTTCTTTTTCTTTCTTTTATATAGACAATTATACCGTGGGAATAAAAATAATAAAAGGAAATTCTTTGATCGATCCAACCAAACGAAACCAAAATGTTCAGTGGTTAAATAAGTAAATGCTTAAATTTAAGAAATTTAAGGTGGTTGATTTTTTTCTTTTTCTTTTTCTTATTTATTTATTTAATTTTTTTTTTTAAATTTGAATATATAGTGTAATAAAAACAAATAGGTTACCTTCCTACTTGGGCTTTTCTAAGATTTTTAAGTACAAATAGATGCTGCCTCTTCATTTAGAGGTTTGTTGCGTTTATTTTTCTCCCCCAAGAAAATGTCAAATAAAATTAGACACGAAGGGGAGGGGGGGGGGGGGGGGGGGGGGTTGGAAAGGAAAAAGAAATAAAAAGGGCAATGTAACTTTTTTAGTTCAACTAATTCTCACGGATCAACATAGAAATGTAACTGACATTTTTAAAGGATCAATCGCGTCGAGCTGAAATCAGAATTCATTTAAGATTGAATCTTTTTTTTAAAAGAAAAAAAACTTTTTTTCCTCACATTTTCAACATTCTCAGAATATTTTTGAATTTCTTTTGTTTACTTTTTTTTGGAAAAAACAACAACCACTTTTTATAGATCCCAGAAAGTTGTGATGTCATACAAATACACCCTAAAATACACTCAATAAATCCTTTTTTCTTTCTTTTCTTTAGGGCTTATTGTCTTGTCTCTTCCCTTTCTTTTTTCCATGTACAAATATATTGAATTTCTTTGGCGAATGCAGACAATAAATCTTTCATTTAGGAGAAAACGAAAAATTTACGATTTATAAAAAAGAAACTAAAAGGAACATTTCATTTCAAACATTTCCCAAGTTTTAAAACAAAGAGCTTGTAAAAAACAATAATGCATTGTATAAATATTATTAAGTTAAATAAAGTTCCTCCCTTTTGTCGCTACCGTGGTGAAGTGGTATCACACTGCCCTTCCAAGGCAGCATCTCGGGTTCGAATCCCGGCGGCAGCATTTCTTTTTTAAATGATTTATGTGTAACTTTTTTTGATTTATTATATGAAAAATTTGGAATAATTCATGGCATTGTGTCAAAGGAAAAAGAATTCTAAAATTTCTATTTTTTTTTCTTCTTTTTTTTCCTCTTTTTTTTTTTTTTTTGTTATTCAAGTTATTATTATTATTTTCCCTTTTTTTTTTTAAACAGAATCTATTTCACAACAGTATTCTTTCAATTCCATTTTTAGCTTTTTTTTTGTGAGTGTGTGTTATTTTCTGCAGTAATATGGGTTACTAAGAGAAAGAGTTGAACAGTAACCAACTAATAATGAAAGTTTACGAAAATCAAGGTAATGCAAAGGAGGGGAAAAAAAAAAAAAAAAGAGTTGATTCATATAAAATTAAATAAAAATTAAAAAAAGTTTTTTTTTTTTTTTAAATGGGTTTGGAATAAAGTTAAACTGAAAGAAAAGATAAAGAAAAAGGATCAGCAAAAAAAGAAAAAAATAAAAAAATAAAAAAAACCCTCCAAGGATAGAACTTGACTACTGTGAACTGTGTGTGTTTTCATTTTCTTTGTGTTTCTCTTTTTCACCTACATTGAAGCATTATTTTCTCTCTCTCTCTCTCTCTCTCTCTTTCCTTCCCTGTTCCCTCCCCCTAAATAAATAAATAAATAAATTCTTTCTCTGAATACTCTCGAATAGTAGGGAAATTTATTAAAATTCTAGATGGGTCAAACATTATCCGAACCTGTGACAGAAAAGCACTCCGCTTCTGGATCTTCTCCTAAACTACTGTATGCTGTTTCAGCTATGCAAGGATGGAGAACTGCTATGGAAGATGCTCATACTACTGAACTTAATTTAGTACCAGAATTTCCTAATGAATATGCTTTTTTTGCTGTTTTCGATGGACACGGAGGTACCCTGCGTATTCTGCTGTTCAAAACTTCTCCTCTTCTTACTTTGCCTATCCATTCCTCTTTCTCAATTCTCTTCCATTACTTTTAGTATAGAATGCCGATGTGCCTTCTTCTTCTCTTCACCTCACTTTCCTCATTATCATTATTAAACTACAATGAGTAGTTGGAGATGAATATATATATATGTAATCCTTCATTTTCTTGTGATTAGGATTGATTTATTTATCATCTTTTTATTCTTTTCACTCAATCACTTTCCTACGTTGCATTTCATTTTTTCTTTATTTTGGATTATCGTTCATACTCTACCATATATACCACTACATATCCTTATACATATTTGCTTCAATTCAAATTAAGAATTCCATTTTCTTCCTTCTTTCCTTCTTTCCTTCCCACTCTCTTCTCATACACATACACACACACACACACACAGTTTTTCTTCTTTACTGCACCACACCTAATTATCGCGCTTTTGTGAAAAATTCTATGTGTTTGATTTTCTCTCTTATAGCTATAAGTTAACTTTCTTCTTTTTTTTTTTCTTTTCCTTTTGTTCACTTTCCTACGTCTCCTTAACCTCGGGGGTCCTTCTGACCTACTCCATCGTTAGGTCCCACGGTGGCCCGACTTGCAGGTACTCAATTGCATCACTCAATTCAGGAACAACCGGATTTTAAAATGTCGAATTTTAAAAAAGCGATAGAAACAGGGTATTTAGACTTTGATGCGACGTTAAGAGTGCATCCGGATTTAGAAAAGGAATTTAGTGGATGTACAGCGATTTCTGCGTTGATCACGCCACAAGCTTTGTATGTAGGAAACGCAGGAGATTCAAGAGCCGTGTTGTCGGTTCGAAATCAAGTGGTCCCCATGAGTTTTGATCATAAACCAGAAAATCAATCAGAAGCTAAACGGATTTTTGAAGCGGGTGGATTTTTGGAATATGGAAGAGTGAATGGTATTTTATTTTATATATTTTTATTCTATCCTTTTATTCCAGTATATACATATACATATGTTTCTTCCTTTTTTTTTTTTTTTTTTTTTTTTTTTGTAAATGCTTTTTACAACTTTTTTAGCATGTGGAGTCGTTTACAATAATAATGGACTTTGGATTAAAAAATAACATAATTAAACTATTGGCAATGAAAGTAACAGTCAACTGTGAAGAAAGAAAAAAGACTTTTTACAGATATCTCCACTCAACAAAGTATTTCTATGTAATTCCAAAGCTCACTAGATTGAACTTCAGTACTTTATTAATTCATAGCTCGGAACATTACGGTTATACGAGATTTCGTCTTACAGATCTCTTGAAAGTGTAATGATATACTATTTTGAGAAAAGGAACGTTTAAGTAAATAGGGGAAATACAGAATTAGAAAATAATATAGCTAAATCTAAAATCGAAGTCACCACGCTACCCTTATATTTTAATGATTTCAAAAGATATCATCTATTGCATTCATGGGTGCAAACTGAAATGTAGAAAGTATAGGGTAGAAGGTATGAAACACTTAAAATTTGAGTTTGTAGTACACTTTTTTGCAAAGAAGGAGGGGATTTAAAAAAAACAAAGGAATTTGCATTTCTCCTTTTTTTAAAACTATTTATCTTTTCTCTCTATTTTCTTGATTAATTGCATGGGATTTCAGGTAGTAGTTAGCTCATTTTTATATTTCACTTGAACTTGAACTTTATTTAAATATTTAAAGTTAATTTTTATATTTCACTCTTGCTTCCCCATTTTAGCTTCCTCATGGTTACGAAAGGTTTTAGTCCGGAGTTTATCCAGTGTTTGCCGATAAAAATCATCGACAGAGCGAAAGAAATTGAGCGATTGTTGAAAATTAAAAGACCCGACATGCCGTTCGACCCCACAATGTTCATCAAAGCATGCATCATGATTTCATGCCAAGAGTATTTCTCTTTGCTATTTTATTTTAATTAAAATAAATAATTTATTTTAGAAAAAAAGAAAGAAAATTCTTGGAATAAGAGTGATTTTAATCTGAGTTATGATACTTCCCTCGTCGTTGCATCTGTGTTTAGGAATAACCATCCAATGCCTGAACTACCATCGAGTAATTTATCGAATGCTGTTTTGAAAATCCGTAAAACTTGCTCATTGACTTATGTTCCTAAATTGGAGCCTTTCCTAGTGCGAATGAGCTGGACCAACACGGATTTGTCTCAGGTTCGCAATTTAGTCCAGTCTGTACTAGATCATCGAGGCAGCAACTCTACGTTTACATTGGAGGAACAGTTTAGATGGGAAGTTGTGACTTTATTTGTGTTATATGGTCGGAAACAGGTATCGTTCTAAAGCAAAGAAACCAGTTTGTTGTTTTTTCAAAGTGAAAAGCACTAAACAAAACCTTTTCTCTTTCTTTCTTTCTTTTTTTTT